GCTGCTTTTTGAGAATCCCACAGGAAGCTAACTTGTATAGGTCATAAACTATATGCGTACTAAATTTCATTCAAATTCATTTAGCAGCTTTTGCGTGATTGAGTGACAAACATAAAAACTTTCACATTTATAATATTAGTAGGATAGGTGATTGACTAACGACCAGTATCAATAAATCTAACTATAGTAAAAGATAGGAGTATTAGAGCTTTTTTGCTTAGATACTTTTAATATTTAGATTAAAAACAACTGTTACTTAAGGAACGGAATCAGATTGTCCTTACCTTTTATGTTTTTATGTGTATATTTTTAAATGTATTGTTTTATTGCTATTATTATTTATTTTAATGTAATTGTTGCATTGTTTTTTTTTTAATTTTGATATGGATCTCGTGTCTGAAATAAATGCTTTTATTATTATTTACTGGAGTTTGATTATTATAACTGGCCGTAAGTTACTCCTTATCATTTACCAGTAAATTACAATAGTGAATTGGAATTCTGCAGAAAGCCTAGCATCGCCGATGTATTTATACACATTTGGTTTCCGCTGCAATAAAATTCTCTAAGTAGTTTTTTAAAGCGTACCTATCAAGTACCTATATTGATTTCTACTTTCACTCCAGTGTCAAACTAATTAAACTTCTTAAAAAAGCTACATTTACATAGTCTAACATAGTTTTTGTATATTGCATTGTAGAAAATCCTCTACACATCATAAGCCGTGTACTATATACTGTAAGACACTCAGGTGTCTGAGGATCTTGTAGGCTTTGACGTAAGGCTGATCTATGTTAGGGAATTTAGACAACTTTTCCTAGACAACATTTCTAATGATCGTTTGTCGGTAGGAGTGTGGGTTCAGGCTAGCAATGTGTGGGTGACTAAAGCGGAAAACTTCGTCTTCGAGTGGAATTCACTTATAGTCCAGGAAATGAAGCATTTTGGCTTGCAAATTTTTCGTCCACCATGGATTTACTTGAAATTTTCACAAAAGGTAGGGAACAGCTCAAGGATCATTTTCTATATCATGCCGCTGTAAGGCTCTAGGCCTTGGAGGTGCTTGCCACCCCATCTCGGGGCTGGAAATTTTTAAAACAAAAATAAAAATTACACGTTAATCTAGACTGGCAGCCCTAAAATGATTAAGATCTTTGGGTTAAATCGTTATGAATTTACAGCGGAGTTGAACGCTTTCACTGTTTTTAGAGACTTGACGAATCACTTTTTCAGTTTTAAGGTGTCTAAAAATCACGCGTTACTCGTTTAGTGTCATACGCTGCACAGAAAAATCTAAGATACTTATAGTCAGCAAAATACTCACTCGGAATTACAACGAATACGATAGTAAGCAACAGAAACATTTCTAGAACCTAATTTATTTCATCCGATAAGACATAATAAAAGAATTTCAATTGATTGGATAGTCAAAACAAGACGACCTCCGTGGCCGAGTGGTTTGTACGCCGGGTTTCATGGTGTCGCCGACTCGAGAGGTCCCGGGTTCGAATCCCGGTGGGGGCAGATGTTTGTGTGATGAATACGAGCATTTGTACTCCAGTCATGGATGTTTAATATGTATTTCTAAATAAATATACTTATTATATGTACAGTATATGTATTCTATCCGTTACCCTAGCATCCCATAACACAAGCCTTATAGTGCTTACTTTGGGGCTAGGCTAATTGGTGTGTTAAAAAAAAAATATTAAATTAAAACATTTGTATGGTGTAAAATGAATGATTTCTGTATAGGTACTTACGAACGTATCTAACATACCTAAATAAGTGAATAGTTATTTATGCAACTGTTTTATAATGAGGGGTATTAAGAGACGAAGGTGTTTTAATACCTGAATTAAACAGAGTTGCATACAATACTTTACACACACCCATGATATGAATCCTCTATAAAAGATTATGAAACCACGGGGTTCAATCGTTCGTTCTAAAAATTTAAAATTCATCAAAAGTGTCGGCGCTGTGGCAGTGAAAAGCGCTTGAATGACAATGTTTTTTTTTGAAATTCATAACACTACGCATCGAGCAGTGGAAATTGTGGCGGTCTGATGCATAAGCCCTACGGCCCTTAGAGCGGAAGGGATTTAAAAGCGAAGGAGTGTTGTAATTAAATTTAGTACAACATTATAACTGAGATTCATCAATGTACTTATCGCTGTTGAATTTTCGTTTAGACATGGGCTCCCCCCAAAGTGGTCAATGCCCCTCTAGAAATCTCATTGTCCACCCTTTAATTCGAGTGTTGAAAAATGACTTTACAATATTTAACAAAATCCAAATTAATGTTATTCTATCTGAAGAGCTTCCCCCTTAGGGAAAATCATAAGCTACACCATGTGTTTAGAATTCGTTAAAGCCAGACGTGTGCACGTGAGCAGCTAGTAGCATACGACAAGATTTTATTTTCAACGTTGAATTCTCAGCAGGACACAAGAATACGAGTAGGGGTGTGGTTTAACACGCATTCTGTACATATTCAGGTGTCTACCTATTTTTAGAGGAATTCAAAAAGGAGTAGGTTCTCAATTCTTCAGTTATCATTAGCCTATTAATGTCACCACTGCTGGGGCACAGGTATTCCCAGGAGATTGGGCCATGACCCACCACGTGGGCTCAGTGCAGATTGGCGGGTGTTATGACTGCAGATGCAACCGGGACCAACGGCTTAACGTGCATTCCGAAGCGCGGAGAAACTCGTGATAAAAGATTTTTGGTCACCCATCCAATGACATCGAGCTCCACATTGCGTGGACCGATTTTGATGATTCTTATTTGTTTCAATCAGTTTTTTGTTGAGATGGTCCCATATTGATCTGGTTAAAATCTGATGAGTACTTTCGGAAAAAACAATGGAACCCCTCAATTACAAACAGTACTCAATTCATGTTTGGTTGTTTTAAGAGATATGTAAGAGATAATGCAGGCCAGGTAACAAAGCCTACTTGCAGCAAATTTTCTAACTTTAATATCAACTAAAGGAGATTTAACCAATAGAAAATGCCAAAACGTCAATTTGACATTTTTGTATGGAATAATTCTAGTACTAGTAAAATTTGCTACATGTGGAGGTTAGTTAGTTGATGTTACGCTGGTTTATAAAAAGTGCAAAAAATAAACTTTTTAACAATCCCATGCCATGCAGTAAACGGTAACTTAAATCTATAAACATGCATGGCTCCGAGGCTCCAAGTATTTATTACATATTTCAAATAATTGTAAAAAAAAATGACTTAAAAATAGTTTAGGTAAGAAATTGTGTTATTTCCTCCTTTTTAGTGGTTGATTTTTAAATGATCGGTTTTTATTTTTGTTAAAAAAAGTTTGTTTGTTTGAGAGATAGAATTATGGATATACACATTATACAGCCAAGGCTTCAAGGCATTTCTTACAGGCATCTAATTGTCACCCTTCTTGTACGGATTCCTAAAAGTAAAAATTTCCAAATCGTTCAGCAAATAGCACACAATTGCTCGGCAAACAATAAATGTAACATTTAGTCGAATTGAGAACCTGCGCCCTCCCTTTTTAAGTCAGCCGAAATCTCTTTCAATAGGTTTATAAAGCTCATTCCTTTCATTAAAATTTTGCACAATTATTGCCTCTTCGGAATCTTATTCCGGTTTGTCAGGTTCCATGATCTGGAGCGGTTATTGTTAAATAAATGGAGTACGCAGAAGTGTCTATAAAAACCTTTTTAATACACTCTCTGAAATTTCTTAGAAAAATATTATTGACGTGACAACGTCTTAAATTAGGTTGCGGCTGGGAGTCACTTATGAAAAAGTGTAACGCTCGGTAACGTTACGATGAGTCTCTCGTGTTAAGTTTAAGTTTACATGTACAATGTTTTAGTAAACAAAATATATTTCTATAGTTAAAATTTGTGCAATTCTTATTTTCATTCAATTCCTTGTTCCTATTGTGCAATTTAATTATATTCATATCAATAAATATTCTACCGAGAAAAAGACGTTGTCACGTAAAATCTTCGCCCGTAAAACCGACTTTACAGGCAACCATTTTTTTTTATTTAATCATCTAAGGCTATCAATCATCTTATTGCAGATATAGTAGTTTTCATTGAGCATGTTTGTTTAATTTTTATATATTATTTTTATTAGGGTTTCGTAGTCCTCACAAGGAACCCTTATAGTGTCGTCATGTTTGTCTGTCTGTCCGTCCCCGGTTTTGCTTGTAGACTGTTAGCACTGGATAGCTGTAATTTTCTGGAGATATGTATATCAATTATGGTGTAACCTGGAAAATCCTCTCCAGGTTACATGTTAGCTATCTTCAAGCTATCCAGAAAAAAAATATTTTCAAAATTTTATTGTACCATTTTGTCACCATAATTGATATACACATCCGTCCACACCGTCTACCCCATCATATGGGGTATCGTTGAATAGATCCTTTAAAATTATTTCGGGTTTCGTAAGACTATTTTTCGATTTAGGGATCCGTTTGCGAAATATTGAACTTTAAAGTACTATATTTTGTGCGCGTAGTGCTATTTAGTGTTCACCCCCTCCCCACTAACTAAGTTACTGTTGTACTGTGTAAGAGTAATAGTCGCTCTACTTATGTATTAAATTTTGACCTAATAAAAATTTATTTGATGAAAACATTAAAAGTGACTTAGATGAAGTAATTGGTTAAAATACAGACAGACTCTTTCCAAAATATATTGCGGTGACGCCGAGCAACTACGGAACCCTATCCGTCGCATAACGCGACTCACAATTGCCTAGTTTTTTAAAACGTAATTATGTTAATGTTTACATTATTTAGAAAGAAAGAAATAAAGATTTTATTAGACTCTAACAACGTTACATATTGAATGAAGTATGGATTACCAACACGAAAAGAAAAGCCAAATAGGTCTTCACCTTAGCATAATGCCACAGCGATACTAGGCAGCTATTAAAAAAAAAGATTTAAAAAAGTATACTCAAAACATATTTATTCCACTTTTTTCGTTAGTAGTTGCTTAGATGGGGATGTCTGGCCTCAAATTCTGCGACGTAGATATCAGCCATTGAAGGGAACGGTAGTGGCGTGACGGTACTTGAGGGTAAGGTCGTAATCACCTTCAGATCAGGCCTACACTCACCCCGATACACTGGTACCCAACCTGAAACATGATTACATTTATATTTAAACACAACTTTTTTATATATATATTTTTTATTCTATCAACTCGGCCATAATGCTGGACTCGAACCAGAAGGTCATAAGCATAACTCTCTTTCTCCGAAACGGTATTTCGGTAGGCACATAAATAAAATTTTAGAAACGAATTTTTTATTTTAGAAAAACAGGCAAAAATTAATTGCCAAATTCAATGTTCATAGCTCAGGTTCACAGAGTCAGCTAGTTAATGTTTTCCTTTGAATTACAGAAGGCCTCCAGCATCAATCCAGGCAAATTCACCAGCTATGCCACTGAAATCAAGAAATGTCGTATTTTTTTTAGCTTTTCTTAGGCTACAAGGCAGCGCCACTTATTGACTTTATATGTAAACTACAATGTCATAGATCTTGTATCACAGTGTTTGTTATCAAACCTCCGAAACGGCTTCACCGATTTCTATGATTTTTACGTATATTGGCAATTTTTTTTTCTCAATTTGCATTAAAAAATTATGTCGTAAGTTTTTGCTCTTCTATCACCAGCCCTTATTTCTATGGTGGTACGAAGTTTTTTTTTGTATGTGTATGCTTTTGGTCGCAGATGACCTTTACAGCGTCACCGGGTTTGGGGATCCTAAGGGGACCTCAAGCCCAGAATTGGAGAGAGCCTCTAGAGGTATTCCAGGCGGATGGCAACTCCCCCACGCGGGAGTATCCTCTCCGTCTGGAGCCTCTAGACCACTCGAACCTGAGGAGGTTGGCTCAACCAGAGGGCGTCTCTGAGACTCGGAACTCGGCTCTAGTTAGCCGTTGTCGTGGGGGAGAACAAAGTAAGTTGGGTCAGTTTGGTTTTATATAATTTTTATTTGCAAAGAAAATTCGAGATAGTTGACTTTTTTCTAGTAAATTTTTTCTTCATTGCATCAATATTATTTGCAACGTAACTTCAAATGCAACATTTTCATTCAATTCAATCGTATTCGTAATTAATTCGAGAAAAAATACGCACCTTAAAGAGCACAGCATTATTTGGACGGCTATCCTGTTCGTAACAGCCGGACCTATTCACTAACTTTTTTGGCATTTACAGTGTGTAACTATAAAGAAAAGTGCATGTCCATTGATGCTTTTTAGAATGAGTATCTTAGTGGCATTATAATAAAGCCATACTAAATCACTAAATAGCTCGGTGATTATCACTTCCATCTGTCAAAAGTCTAATTTAAACAAGCATAAGCACGCCGAGCACAAAAGCAAAAGATGAATTGTTGACACAGAGGCCAACAGAGGATGTAGCGATACAATATTTTGTGATGAAGTAACAGAGACAACCATACGTAACTTGCGTACATTTACGGCTGTGGTGACTTATCATAATCTAAGCATGAATGATACTTGTTTAAGTTGTAAGTTTCTAAAGTTTGATGGCTTCTGTTATTATCATCTTTTAAATTGTGTAAAAAAGAAAAGATCGATTGGTCCTATCGATTTAAGTAAACTTTAGAAATTTTGTTGTCTTTTTTTCTGCTACCAACTTAACATACAACATATAAAAGCCAATATAAACAGAGTTAAAGGAGATGCAAGTAAGAAATATAACAATAACAAACAGTAAACTATTTAGGAAAAACTTCGAAACGAACCATCATCGTCTGCGCAGTCAAAATGGCGCATCTGGCACATGTCGTCAAAGGTTCTCGACTCGAAACGCTTGTTCCTGCCACAAACTTTACCGTATCTGGAAAAAAGTTTAAATTTCACAATTGATAAATAACTAGCAATATAAATAATATTTTTTTGATTGAATAAATGTATAGCTAGTTAAATATACAGTTAATGTTATATATAGTTAATGTTTTTTTGTTATTACATTAAATATAGTAATAATAAAAAACATTAAGCTACTAGCTAATCCTTACACTTAATATCCAGTGGGGTTAATTTGCTAAATCAGAAAGGTGGATAAAGGAAAAGGGAAGAAAATTCACACCAGCCACTAAATATTCCTAAATGCAATTGAATTTGATCATGGCGCTTGCAACAGTGCCGAAATATTGGAAACTCGCTAAAAAGAGGTACATGATTACGATCCCATAAAATAATTATGTTATTTACGGGATTGTGACCACTACTTGCAAGAGCCATGAACACGGAGTATAAGTTCTGCTCCTGCAGTTATAACATAAATTACTATAATGTTAGGGAAATAAACTAAGATTGTACTTAGATTGAACTAGACTTAACGTCCAAGCCATTACCTACTTGTAGTGCATTGCCACACACTTCTCGTCGCACGAAGACTCGTTCTTTCTTTGAAACTTGTGGAACCACTCCAACACCCAGTTCCCGTCTGCCCAATATATCTCGTATCCATAGTTTGGGTCGTAAAATTTATTTCTCTTTGGACCGCCGTACGCACTGGGCTGTACGGTAACTTGCTCTCTCTTGCGGTCCTCAAGGAATTCAGTCAAATTCAATTGTCTTCGGCTGCAACATGTCTTTTTTATTATAACTACTTTGTTTTTCGAATTTAGAGCAATAGAGTCACATTAGAGGATGTGCGGCCAAAATGTTTTTCTTGAGCTCGTCCGTGTTCCGAAAGGCATGTCAAACAGTTAGTCCCGACTGTATCGGGGGTCGTTAGCACCTTTTCTCCCTGCTGCACTCATAGGGAAGGCCTGTGTTTCAGCAGTAAGAATATAGGTTGATGATGATGATGATTACCTTAATTTGTCTAGTTTGGAACCACTCCAATACCATGAAGTTAGAACATTCGAAGAATTTACTGCTTCATTTTTAGAGAGGGGTTGAGATATGTTTTTTACTTCAAGATCTTTATGATGTAGAAATATTGTGTTCATTTCAGTGATACTCATCAACACTGTAACACAAAATGAACGCATCTATTTTAAATGGTCTCCTATCTGAGTCTAGGTATTAGACAAAATTATAGAACGACTGGAATTTAATTGTCAATTCGTCCGCGTGATGAAAATCCCAGAAAACTTACGAAATTTCAAAATCTAATCTTGGTAAATTATTAAGGATCCCTGCATTCAGGTAAATAAACTATTTCTGTGCCAAAAGTTATCCAAATCAGTTCAGCAGTTTTTTCATGATTCATTAACGGTATTGTAAATGTATGAAATCCTATGTAGAACTAAGCTGCTAACTTATTTAACTATTTAAGCAGTAACAAATAAAATAGTCCCTTTGACCGTCTACAAAACCGTAATTTCGTAACTGGTTTCTTCAGCTTCGATGGAGGAATTATTCTTCTTTGTACAAAACTACGGTTACGTACAAGGAATATTTGCATTATTATAAAAGGTTACTAGTTACATGCAAGAAATAATAACTTCTTCATCGAAACTAGCGATGTAGGTAAAATTATAATATGGAAAATGCTCATTTTTTGGATACGACGTTCAAAGGGACACGAGTAATAGACATGTGTAAAAGTGAGACTAAAAAGTCAATATAAAATGAAAAGCGTTTCGCAGATTTAAATGTCTATAAATGAATTAAAATAAAATAAAATTACTGTAGGCCACTGCCTGGAAATCATATGCCCGTATGCTGTATATTTAACCATGACACGTTAACTTGGTTTCGTAGAAAGAAGAATATTCCTCCATTAAAACTAGTTACGTACAAGGAAGAATAATTCCTTCACCAAAACCAGTTACGAAACTACGGTTTCGTAGACGGCCTAGGGAAAATAATAGCTAATTTGGGTTACTATTACAGATTTAAAGAATCCTAGAAAAAGACGGTGAATCTTCAAGTTTAAAATGAAAGATGTGTAAATTATAAAATATAAAGATGTGTAATAAATTTCTTGATTGCAAAAAGCTAGCTTTAAGTCCTACTAAGAGGACCTAATGATTCTAAGATTATTTTTCAGTGTATTATTGTTTAGTTTGATTTTAATTCATTCTTTATTTTTGTTTTTGCATGTTCATTTAGCATGACTGTAACCATACTGCATTTTGTAAATTATGTTTTTAGTTAAGGAAGAGGGGAGCCTCCAAACACAGGCTATATTTGCTTAAATGGAGACTCCAGTCGATCATTTTGCTAACAAGGCTATTGTAAAAGGAAAATAAATTATTGATTTATTATTATTTATGTAAGGAAGTACCTAGTCCATCATTTTTAACAAATAACCTATGGTAGTATGGCCAAAGCAACAGGAAGTCGTGCTTTGATTAGTTAAGATGCGATGAGGTTTATATTTTGCTGTGATATGACAAAAAGTTCTATTAGAGTACTTTGTACCCAAGCAAGTAACCATTTTAATTTCAGACACAAACAATTCCAAACTGTTTGAATAGAAACTAATTACCAATAAAAAAAGAGTACAGGTAAAAAATATACTAAAGTTTTTAAATTTCTGCTAATATTTCGTAAGTAACTTACGGCTCATCGTAAAATTTATCCAAAACATGCAGCCCGTTATGTTTAAATAGGTTTAAACTTTCGCAAAAGTTCAACGCGATTAAAATATATTGGGTAGCTAGTTATAATAAGCTTTAAACTACACAAAATTTGGAATTTCAATATGAGGATCCACATTATGAAAACATAGTCCATGAAGAGTTATATGCAGCTAATTCGTTCATTATTCACGACCGAATCGATTGTCACAAAAATGTGAATGAAATTATGTAGGTAACTTATCCCATGCATGTAATAAGAAATCAGTTCCTTTACGATCTATGAATGATTGCTTCGTGAGTTATGTGATGCTTGGCATACACTTACGTGTATTACATGTTTGCACATACAACTTAAAATAATGTTATTTAGTCTCAAACCAAGCCCACCAACATCTTGTATTATGACAATTCTGTCGTACATGATAATTTAAAAAGAATAAAATTAATGACTCGGGTACAAAATGTTTGTCCTCGTCACATCATTTCTTTCAATTCCTTATAATATATCGTGAACTTTATAGCAGAAGGAAGAAGGGCTGCCGTTGCATCCATTTGTTCGCGATTGGTTGGATTTACAAAAGGACGGATTTTTATCACGCCGGATCTAGTACATTTTTATGGAGAAATACATAATATTTAAAATTAATACTTTACTTGTTATCAAGAAAAATAGAATACTACAGATGCTATCGAAGGTTGGCATCACCGACAATTCCGAAATAGTCAAATTTGTATTTACTTTTAAGTTTTCTGAAGAAGGAGGCAGCGTTTTAAGACGCAAGGTTGAAAAAAGCCGTCCAAGTGACGTCGAAAAAAACGAACAAATTGTATCTGATTTTAACGCACAAGCAATAAAAATTCTGCGATTGATTGTTTAGAGTAATTGAGTATGCTAGATTCATTTGTTTTTTCAATATGACATTGATTCGTTTTTCTCAGTATTTATTTATAAAATAAAACTATACAAGAAAAATAGCTTGGTGTTTTTCTCGTAAGCGTTTTTCTTGTTATTTAAATTCCGGCGAAAGGAGAATCAGTTGTTTCTCGAATCCGACCAATTGCGAACAAATCAACTGTTCATTAGAATCGTTATTTGTGATAATGATGTTTTGATTTGAGTTTATAAAAACACGCTTACAAATATGTACATAAATCACAATAAATTTAATGAAACTAACATTTTCTGCGTTTAGTTAAGACTGATCAGAAAAACAAGGGTGGCTGGTGCCCCACACGTTTCTTTGCAGCCTCAGTTTATTTTGATTTTTATTTTGATTTTACTTTGGTTCATCATAGGTATCAATCATTTTAATATAATTTAATAAATATACAATCAATTTAAGGCTTTGTATGTTTCGTTAACTTTACACCACGCTGAGAACATACCTTTTACATCAGTAACTTTATATCGAAATATTCATTAAACTCATTTGCTCATACCAATTATGACAGAAATATAAGGTTAAATAAGATAAGACATTTCTCATTAATATTTTTTTATAATAAACTAATGGGTGTGAAAATCATTACCCAAGTTTCGGATGCCTTTCGTTAAAGCTTTGTATATGATAAGATGCCCTTGATTGCATATGCGTGGTAGGGTGGTAATAAAATATCTTGCATTCTCCACGGTAAGCTATGCACCAACCTGAAACCAAAATCATCAAAGTATACCTACAATATAATCATACATACAATCTGAAACTGCCACAAAATAAGAAATTATTTATATTCTTCGTTCCTTGCAGGTTTCATTAAAAGCTGTTGTAATAGGAAGGGTCAGTGTCCGTAGGAAACAAGAACATCAAGATAAAATGTAGAATACATTTGAATTACCAGACAGTTTTCACAAAAAATCAGGAACTTATTTTGTCCCGGAGAAAGTTCAAATTGTTATGAATCCTGTTTATTAAATAATAAAAAAGTAACAAAGTTTTTCTAAAAACCTCAAATTCTATCCAGACACACCATAAAGTTATATTGATGATTTCTATTGGGGTAGAATCCTTCAAGGAAATTTCAAACAACAGAAATGCGCGACCACACGAAAAGATCGATTTCCTAAAATAAGAAAGGTACCTCCTTTTCACACCAAACGATACAAACCAACGATTTGATAGAGCTAACCAGCAGTTATCTTAAATTATAATTTATTCTTTTGTTGCGAAACGTTGAAACTATTAGCATTCGCCAAAATTTCTACTTTGTCTAAAAACCTATAATCATTACAAGAACACGTGACTTCGTCTTCTAGTTTTTTATTTTATACAAAAGTCTTCCTTTTTTTTACCCTTTCCGCCTAATCTCGGTACAGACAAAACATACTTAGTAGGAACTAAGTATGTTTTGTCTGTACCGAGATTTAATAAGAAAAATGTTTTTACTATCCCCAAAACAATAGTAAATGATTTACTAAAAATACAACTGGTAACTTATAGGTTAGGTTAGGTTAACAGTTATATTGTTTTTAGGATCATTTAAATATGAGCCTTTAATAAGGTATTAGAATGGAAAGAAAAATTAAATAAAAGTAACCGTCGTGGCCCAAACAATCCAATAAGCGCATTTCGCAGTAATCTTTGAACGTTCTGTGTTCTAATTTCTTGTTTCTGCCACATATCACGCCAAACCTGAAAGAAAAATCACTGTACGCTTTAAATATTTATGAAAAAGTATTAGGAATAACCAAAAATATATAAAACAATACTCAATGGGTTAGTCGAGTTAGTAATATGCCGCTAGGAATATTCGAATTTTCCAGTAATATAAAAAAGGACTATAAAAAAGTACGTGCTATCTTGCACACAATCCTTAGAAAAATGAATTTCTATTTCCCTTGGTCACGGCATAACTTGAGAACGACATTCCAGATTACATCCATTTTTAGCTTGATTTTGAAATCAGAAATCAATATATCTTTATTCCAATTGGATGTACAATACAACTCTTTTGAATTGTCCATTTTTTTCCCTACCACTAGTTATGGACATATTTTTTAGCTACGGAGAAAATGGAGCGAAAGAACTCCACAATATTAAAAGCATTATGTAGCAACATTTACAAATCATTATGTGGTTACAACGTCAATATAATCATGATTTATTTAATATAGAAAATCTGTTGGGATGATTGGAATTGTTCAAACCCAAGCATTTTTGTCTGTAATATAATCAGACACTTTCTAATAAGCTTTTATATTATAATAAGTGCTTTTTTTATACTATCTTTGAATTTATTTATGATTCACTCTTGAATATTGCTTGGGACTTTATTGTTTAAGCGAACACAAAGACCTTTAAATGAATTATTGATTTTGTGAAGCCTTTATAATTTACTAACTTTACATTTTAAAAGGTGTTTTCATCGCGTACGATAACGTATGTAGGGTCTACTACTTTTTAAATAAAATAATTTATCTATAGACACCAACAGTTAAATAATTTACAAAGGATTGTGCCCGATAATTATTTTCACATATTAGCTAGTCAAGAATTAATAAATAGGTGTAAAAATCTTAATCGTGTGACCACGCAAAGCCTGAAAACAAACGACCCGTTGTCGTAAACGAAACGGTTAAATTATAAATAATAAATAAATTGCGGTATATTCCTGTTTATAATGTGTTCTGTTTACAAGACTATTCCAAATTTTCACTGAAAATCGGTGTCTTTGGAAAATGCTCGAGATATTTCTTTGTAAATTTAGCTGGGGAGCGGCACAACAGCAATTAAAACGCCTGTTGATCTTTATATATTTTGCCATTTGACATTCCTTTCATCTATAAAGCTGAGCATTTAGGTGACTCCTAATTAGTTACTGAACAGTCACCCTGAATAACTTGGTTTTTGAAATGACTGATATATTTACCTTGGTTAATTAAGTAATAAATATAGGGTTATTTTATAGTGACTTCGACCTATTTAGATATTTATAAATGTACTGAATATAACGTTTATAATTTCAGAATTAGATTTTTGGCAGGAAACCTACTATTGGTAGTCTTAAGACATATGAATGTTTCTTAAATTTATAAGTACACCTTCACACACATCGTATTTTGTGATAGTCCTTTTTTTAAAATCTATTGAGCAGCTTCATATGCATTTAGAAATATTTAATAAAATATACTCATCAAAAGAGTCTAAGAAACATAAACTTTTTTAAATTGTTGACCGATTTTTAATATTTTTATAAACACCTATGATTAAGATTCTGCAGTAAAACATCGAATGCCATCATAAAAAAAACATTAAATACCCTTTTGTGTGTTATAATGTTTTTTTTATAATTTCATAATAACACTCCTTCGCTTTCAAATCCCTTTTGCTCTAAAGGCTTACTCATAAGACAGCCACAACTTTCACTGTTCGATGCGTGGTATTGTGAATTCCAAAACCGGCCAAGTGCGTGTATTTATATATTTCCACAAAATTGCATGCTTTGTAGCGCTAGCAGTGTCCAAGCAAAACCGGGGACGGGCAGACGGACATGACAAAACTATAAGGGTTCCTTGTCAGGACTACGGAACCCTAAAAAAGAACAGAACATTGTCATCGCGTTTTCGTGTTCACGCGCATCTCACTACCACAGAGCCGAAACTTTTGATGAATTTTTAAATCTTAGAACACCCATGCAGTTTCAGAATCTTTTATAGAGGATTCATATCATGGGTGTAGATAAAGTCTTGTATGCAACTGTTTATAATTAGGTATCAAAACGATCATGTTATACTATAATCTCACATTCGTGTTTAATACCACTAAGTATACAACAGTTGCATAAAATAACTACATATTAATACTTAAATTCTTTTGCTAATAATAATCAAGAGCAAGAAAACGGTTGAATAAATAATACACTTCATAACGTTATTATAAAATATTAACTGATAGAACTTGCGGCCTAGACTTTTTTGATGTGTGAAGTTAAAATTTTCGAACTTCTTGTATATTGGTGAACACGTATCTTCACACAGGTATTTAGATCCATTCGTTTTATGCTGCTCAGCGAACTTGTTCAGTGCCCAGTCGCCGCCCGTCCAGTACGGCTCGAAGCCATAACTCGGATCGTAATGCTCGTTCTTTTGTGGACCTTTCTTGTCTTCATGATATGTTGACGATTCCTCTTGAGCTTTTTTCTTGAAACGAGAAGGTGTGTCCCTTTGTCTGCAACACAAATGATATGGACCGCACGCGTCAAATAAATTGGAAGCTTGAATCGTAACGTGTTGCCTGTCTCGTTCTATTGAAATTTGTGTCAGTATTGTAGTTAGAGAGCATGTTACTATAGAATATCCTATTAATATTAAAAATGTGAAAGTTTGTTTGTTTGTTACTCCACCGCGCATGAATGGATTATTGGATGAATGGATCCACATCGGATCCGCGAGAGAAAATTTTATAGAATAACATTTTTGATCTAAACATGAACTATGATCTGAAAATAGACATTTTACCGGCGACTGAGGACCATGTTTATGATCCGCTGGGAAGAAATCTGAAATTAAATTTTTCGATGGTAATCTTATACAATAAATAGAGTAGTTAACTCAATGAGCATAAAAATAGTACGCGATAAGGTTCTTTTTGGTATTTTTTTCACATATGCGAAGTTTTCATACGGTTTTCATACATTATCGAAATTTCCTAACGTTTTCAATATAAATATTGTATAACCTATGTTCATCAAGAATAATATGGGATTCTAAATGTGAAAGAATTTCTCAAATTGGTCCAGTAGTTTCGGAGTCTATTCTATACAAACAAACAAATCTTTCCTCTTTATAATAATAGAGTATAGATAATTTATACCTTAAAAATGAATCATTGTTGTCATATTTGTTCCTGCATCGACCCATTTCCAAATTTCCATGCAAAATGTCTTCCATTGGGTAAGTCAACACTAAATTTACTGTAATTGAAAGATTTATTATAACAGCAAACGTCTGTTTTTATAGTTATGTTATGTATACGCCATACACTCTTCTTATTTGGCAATATGAAAGTCAGGTAATTGCCCAACTTGCACTCAGTCGAGCACGCTCTCTCGCCACGGTATCTGTTTGGGACTCCTTTTACGTTATAGTTTCAATATATTCTTTTTTATGAAAATAATCACTTGTCAATATTTTTAGGGTCAAAAATTCACTCAATGTATTTAAACGTCTACTTAAACCGTCTTCTTTATTTTATTTAATTTAAAACATAACAAAAATAATGGTGACCGTTGAAGCGATTAAAAAGGACCGTAAGATTTGCCGCATGGCCTTCACTATCACGGGCAAAAAAGTGGAAGAGGTCATTTGTAAATAAAAACCAGACCTCGAACTCAAAGAGTCATACAAAACAAAAGTGGAGCAGCTTTTCCAGATTGAAACAACATTTCCGAAGAAAACATGCTAGAAATTTTAGAGATTGACGAAACAACTAAACGGGAGATGCATTACAATGTCATCAAATCCAAATGTGAGTCGATTTTATCACCTTATTATCATAACCATGACATTGCCGATGATTTAAATGGAGAGGGAAACGAGGCTCCGAAAAATATTTCTAACAAAAAGTTTCAGTTGCCGACTCTAGAATTAAAAGTTTTTGACGGCAAAATAGAAAACTGGATCGGGTTTTGGGGTCAGTTTCGGAAGATACACGAAGATGCGTCTATCGATGATGACGACAAGTTTCAATATTTATTGAAAGCTACGGAACCTGGCACGTCAGCGAGAGAAATAGTGGAGAGCTTTCCCCTAAGTGGTATAAATTATTATAAAGCCATCACAGACTTCATAGCAAGATTTGCCCAAGATAAATTCATTATCCGCCACTACATAAGAAAACTTTTGGAGCTTGTACTATGCCAGTCAAGTAATAGGGAAAATTTTGATTTCCATAGCCCCTACGATAAGTTAAATACGTACTTGAGAGCTTTGGAGTCACTCGGTCTGACCAGCGACAAATATGCCGAAATGCTCTATCCTTTAATTGAGTCAGCTATGCCTGATGATACGCTAAGAGTATGGGAACGTTCTCATAAAAACTTCGATAGAGACGAGCATCAGCGGCTTATAAATTTTTTGAAGTCTGAAGTCGAATGTGAAGAGAAGTTACAGATAGCTAGAAGCAGTTTCAATGAAAGAGTACCGTATACCAGACCACCCACGGCATGTACAGTAGTAGCTGACAAAAAGCCAACCAATAAAAAACATTACAGTATTTATGAAGAAGCTTCCACATCAGCTGCCGAAAAGGTTTTGCCCTGTATCTGGTGTGAGAAAACCACACATAAGAGTTCGGAATGCATAAAAACCAAACAAATGACTCTAGACCAGAAAAAAGAATTTCTGAAATCCAAAAGAGCATATCTGATTTACCTTAAAATCGGGCATTATGCAAATAACTGCCATGTAGTACAGTCAATCTGTAGGTTTTAGGTTTTTTTTTCACTGAAACGTTTTTTTTTTCGACAGATTGACTGTACTTATAGTTACCCAAAATGTACATGTTGCACAAAAGGGCATACGATCGTAATGTGTCCTAACATTAATAATTTTCAACCGCGAAAATTGCCCGTACCAACGTCAAATAACTCGCAAGATACTGATAATAATGCAGTTACAATGAAGACTAGTTTGCATTCTTCAACCATCAACTATACTTCAGCTGAAAACGGAGATGATAGTCATATTTTGAATGTAGGTGATGTGGTCTTAGTAGAGACACCAAGTAAACATTTTCGTTACTAGGGCGCGTAGTAGAAATGCACAAAGGACTAGATGATACGTGTAGTGTAGCCACGGTTACAACTGCAACCGGGGTACTTACACGGAGCGTTAATAAAGTATATCTGCTGGAAATTACATAACGCTCGTATTTATTTGTTTATATTTTTATGGTTGTATGTTCTATTATTATTTGATGAAATTTTGTTTTCTTTTTTGTCCCTTGGGAGGATGTTTGGGACTCCTTTTACGTTACAGTTTTAATATATTCTTTTTTATGAACATAATCAATTGTCAATATTTTTAGTGTCAGAAATTCACTCATTATATTTAAACGTCTACTTAAACCGTCTTCTTTATTTTATTTAATTTTGCTACAACGTGTGAATATTTAACGTTTTTCCAGTCAAAAAGCCCTATATGTTATATTGTACAAAAATTACACGGGATCTATTTAAGACAAGAAAACCGGCCAAGTGCATGTCGTGCCACGCGCAGTATAGAGTTCCGTAGTTGCCTGTAGTTACCACAATATATTTGAGCAGAAGACTTTATTTTCTCTATCGGAAATTAGAAAAACCAATTAATATCAATGTATGTATCATAACTAAAATACCTAAATCAAAGTCAAACTGCGTCTCAAACTCAAAATCAATTGGATATTGTTTTTTTTTCATTCGAATTATAACCGCCGATTTTTTTTTATTTCCTCCCAGGCGGGGGAGAAGTTTTGAAATCCTCAAGGAAACCCTACCCGGCTGCAAGGTTATGTCAGACTCTTACTGACTTAAAGTTCCATTTGATCATCCCCGGAGAAGAGGATGATGCGGTATAACTGCCGATCTTTTCAAGTGTTTATATGCTTTTTATAAAAACGTTACATTAGCGCGACTCAGATGCCGTTACCGTTGGTACTCGCGGTAGAGTTATAAAACTAATAATATATGATTGTAATTTTTAAATAGTTTTTTTTAGATTTTGTTGCAATGCAAGGTTTTTACTCTTCAATTACTTTATCTATGACACTATTAATGGAATTTAAAATAGCTAAGAAAATTTCTTTCTTCTTTTTTTTAACCGTTATAGTTTTCCTTAAAAGTTCATTAAAAGCACTACCATCATGATTTTTTACAGGTTTTTAAGCCAATAGCATTTAGCTTTTAGAGGGGTGGGGGGGACGCCCTACTCGAACAAAAATTAGCACTTTAAAGTTCAATATTTCGCAAACGGATCCCTAAATCGAAAAAAGACTTAGAAACCCCTAAATTATTTCAAAGTACTCATTTAACGATATTACACATGATAGGGTAAATAATGAGAAAAAAATCATCTCCAGGTTACATATACTGGAGCTACACAAATTTTTTTTTTTTCAAAATTATTTAATCATTTTATCAACGTGATCGCTATACATATCTACACAAAATTACAGACAGCTCACTAGTGCTAATAGCTGCCAAGCAAAATCGGGGACGGACAGTTGGACATGACGAACTATAAGGGTTCTTTGTCAGGACTACGGAACCCTAAAAACGAGTCATTTCATTCGTAAGTACAGTTTTGAAGAAGTTAATGTAAAAATATTTAGTGATTACTTATTTTGATAGTTGCTGACACTGTTGACACGTGGAGGCTAAAGAGCTAGATGTAATCTGCTTTATGCATGAGGGTGAAAGAGACTTCTTTAGTGCGATCTATTGGCTGCTTAAGGGAAGTTGGGGCGGGGACTACTTGTGCCGTTTTAAAGTGCAATAATGTTGGCATATAACCTGTCTATATATCATACGTCATTACCTGTATTTTTAGCACGCACTTATATCGAATACGAATACTTGAGCTCGATCTCTATACGCGTAAAATGTCAAGAAGTTTTCTATATAAGGTTTATAATTCTCGTTACGTCCGTTGTGCTATGTTCAAATTTACATACAAAACTTTTTGACATTTGACGCGTATCGAGATCGAATAAAATTATTCCAATTCGATATTGGTTTGTACTAAGAGTACTGTACCCCAAGCACAAATAACTAGCGAGAAAGTATTCGTGTTGCCATTTTCAAAGTTTCTATAAAAGGAGCTAGTTTGTTCATACGTTCCAGTAGAGACAAAAGGCAAGGACTGTGCCCCAGCAGTGAGGACATTAGTAGGCTAATAATGATGATGATCTTTGATGTCACAATTATCTTCAAATTACAGCAATGCACGAACGATGGATTTGACAGCGTAAACGAATCGAATACGGACGATTCGTAAACGCGGGTCGCGGTCGTAATAGACTTTGAAATACTCACGTCTTATAAAAATCAATATCCAATTTAATGTTTCTTTTTCATTTGGCATTACAAAGTGAAACTTCGGTGTGTTTGGCAGAATGTCAAGGCGTATTATTAAACGTTGCCTTATCGTGTTCTGCAAAATTAATTTTAGGTCTGGTTTCTAGAAATTTGA